TGATCCAGAGAAGAGACGTGGCACCCACCACTGGAGAAGGAGAGGCCTGCCACACAGCTGGCAATTGGGAGAGGATTTATTTAGCCAAAGAATTTTTAAAAAATTATCATTAGGAAAGTGCCACTTATAAAGTATACTACTCTTGAGTCTTACTCTCCTAAAAAGAAGCTTCTACAAAAAATCAGGATGCTGCAGGAAGAAAACAGACTTTAATTGGTTAATTATATTCAGTATTTAATATTTAATAAAAATTAAATATGAAGAAAATCATCTACAAATTACAGTTTTCATATGTGAGAAAGATTTATAAGGCCTATTTGGCCCAATTCAAATTTATTTCTTCTTAGCTGTGGTTCAGATCCACAGAGCATTGCTAAGAAACATATTCCATAATTCTGAATTTTTCAACATCATGAAAGATGAGTAGATTTTTCGGAGCACTACTGTTAAGCTGATAAGGGTTAAGGGGAGTCTTAACCTGCCCCCTCTCCCAAAATCCAGTAAAAATATTTTTATTTCAAAATAAAAGGTGGTGACATTATAAAATTAGGAGCGGGGGAGGGAAGCTATGACACAGTATGTTTTCTTTTTAAATTCACACTTGACTGTGTCCTACCTACTGCACTACTTAAGCGATTAACTCTCAGGGAGAAAGGAAGGAAGAAAGAAACCCAAAATCCCCTGACAATGCCCTTGCACCACACAAGGGCTTATTCTGCTGCCAGTCTCTGAGTCCCCAATATTTTTCCCCATTTACAGAAGTATGAGTGAGCGAGACTGGGGAGAGCAGGAGCAAAGCACACCAAGGATTCCACTAGTCCTCTGGGAATGAACCCGCCCATGTCCTCGGTGGCAATTGACCGTCCGCCATCTTGGCATTCACAGTAAACAACATCTTTCTTTAAAACTTTTCTTGTTCTTGTTACTTTTCTTGCCATTCTTGTCTTTGTTTTCTGACATCTTCTTTGCTCTGATTTCTCTCATTAGGTCAAAGAACACCTGGGGTGGGGATAAGGGGGTGGAAAGAATAGGAAGAATTTAAATAATGATTTAAACAACAAATAGCAATTTAATGATTTAATGAAGTAACTGGACTAAGCAGGAGATGCAGTTGTATTTGAAAGCATGAAGCAGACATTTTTATAAACCACACGTCAAAATCTTTATAGACCATGTGTCATTAAAAGCAGGAGGTCGGTCCTCCCTGGT